ATTCGGCATAGGTGTGGTTGTAGGCGGTCACTGGGCGGTCTGGAAGTGGGCAGATCATGTCGAAGTCGGCCCAGGCAAACCTCTCGACATAGGGTGGGCCGAGGCAGTTGCAGTCGAGCTAGGACTGCTCGTGGCACTCGACAGTGGCATTATTGCCTCGCTCCCAAGCCATGCACGGAGACTGCTTGTGCGCTCCGACAACGAAGGTGTTGTAGCCGTCGTCAACAAGGGCCGCTCTCGAAACAGCAACACCAACAATGTGCTGAAGCGACTTTATGGCACATTGGCAGTCCACGCACTCTCGATCGTGGCCCATCATATCCCGGGGCAATCGAACGTCTCCGACACATTGTCTCGAGGGGACATTGCTGGTTTCCTCGCAGCTTTCCCCGCTGCCACCCATCAAGCATCCATTGCTCTCCCCTTACCTTTGCGGCCCCTGCTCTGCTCTGTGTGATGCCGGCACAAGCTGTCCGCCTCATCTGGGACGACGCCTCGCACTCTGTCATTCGCGAAAATCTGGGTTCCCTGGCTCCACTCCCTTCGCCGTTACGCCCGCCGTGTAGAGCCGAGCAGCGGATCTTATTGTGGACAGGCGTTAACCAACCACCACATTCTACCATTCAGCATCCTGCAATTGAGCACCTACGTCATATCGGTGCGATGGAATCCTTACGGGATGCATCAGCCTACGGCTCTGGATTGCGCAAGTTCCATCTCTTCTGCGACATCTTCTCCATCGCAGAGTCAGACCGTCTCCCAGCCTCATTCGAAGTACTGAACTCCTTTGCACTATGGGCACTCGCAGATCCACACCCGGGGGAGATACAGTCATCTACCGGTCCTTGCAACACGACCGGTCCTTGCAACAGACGCCTCTCCTGGGCCCGCCTACACCCAATCTGCCTCGGACTTGTTGCCAATATCTTCCTACACCTTCAAACTATATGCCTCCGGAGTGGTTTTGTTTTCCCTTTGACAATTGTTGTGCTATGCTCAAGGGAAGTGGTTGCAACGCCCAACACCCAATTTCATTTTGAAGATCGTAAGGGATTGTGCTGCTACTCCTGAGATTCTAGTGCAGTTTTATGACGGAAACATGTCTATTCCTCCTCTAAAAATAGTACAGTACGTGTAATCGCAACAGTTCGCCCCAAAGTTGAATATGCGAAGTCGGGCGAGAGCAAAGTGTGGAGTGCGTACCGATTGAATCTTGTCACATCACGTTTCCTCTTTGGGTCGGTTTGGCCTTGCCCTCACAACCTCCTTGAAATTTGCAAAACATGCTCCTTGCAGACAACATGGTCAGCCGCACTCAAAAAGGAGAAGCAGATAAACCAAGAGATTTAAGAGAAGTGAATGGCTGCAGGAAGGCGAGGAACGACGCACCGAGCACAGCACGATGGGGCTCGATGATTCGCGATTAGATCTACTCAGCATTCCATATTAGGTATATCAAAGTGTGATGTGACAGTGTTGCAAAGAGCGGTTTGGCCTGCGATAACGAGATTTTGGCTTACTTACTCAACTTGTGCCTCACACCATGAACCGATAAAGATTTGAAGTGCGTAGAAGTGTGATATGTATGACCCTTGACATAACTATATAGTCTGATCTACAGTACACGGAGATAAAATGCCCGGCCGAGGCGCCTCAAGATTTGGGCGTTGCAAGGACCGGTAGATGACTGTAGCACTTGCGACCGCCCCAGCCTTTCGAGCCTGTGGGTCGGGATGTCATCCGAAAATATCTAACCGCCATTCGTGCCTGGCACCTTGCACAAGGGTGGCCAGCACCTCTATCTTCCGATCAGCTCTCTGCAATTGACTTCCATCTGCGCGGTCTGGAGCGACATGTCGGTGCGCGACGAGTTCCCCCACGACCCCCGGTGACCATTCACATGCTCGCAGCACTACGCGCCGATCTCAACCTGAATGATCCGTTCGACGCCTGTGTATGGGCGGCCGCAGCTTGCGCTTTCTGGGGCCTCATGCGATTTGGCGAGGTCACTGTACCAAGTCGTGCGGCTTTCGATGGCTCGAAGCACATCAAACGGATGGATGCCTTGTCAGCCTACGACGTGAATGGGAAACTCTATGCTCGCCTTGATCTACCTGCGGCCAAGACAGCCAAAACAGGGGAGATCCAGTCCGTGTATCTTGTGATACAAGTAAGAGATTCCTTGATTCCATCTACTAGGCACGGTTGGCTGATCACCGCGAAAGGGGCCTGCTGTTTGCCCAATTTCAGCCTTGAAGAACCTTACAGAGGTGGTGCCAGCTGGTCCTGCAGATCCGCTGTTCTCGTGGCGAGATCGGAGTGGCACAGTGCGCCCCCTTGTGCGCGACGCTGCCCTGAAACGGATCAATTCAATTCTCCGTGAACACGGCTGGGGAACATCATTCGGTCACTCCTTCCGCATAGGCAGCGCGGCTTTCTTTCTTGCTCAAGGTGCCGACCCGGAGATTGTACGATTGCAAGGGCGTTGGCGATCAATGGCCTACCAAGTGTACATCAGGGCATTTGAACAAGTGGCATTGCACCACCTCGCAAACCTCAGTGGAAACTACGGCTACTAGAGCAGCTGTGTAGGTTGGGGTGCGGCGAGATCGCCGCGGGCTGCTGCTCTGGTCGGGTAAGCGGCGCTCTCTCCGCGCGTACGAACCGGCTAACGCCGGTCCTCACCCAACCTGCTCCTGCTCCTTCGCAGAGCTTCGTGGATACCCACTGCGTAGACGAGGGCGGACTGGAGAGCAATAGAGAACGACTTGTTTTTGGCGCCTCTTAGAGCTTGTATAGCTCAGTGGTAGAGCGCGCCACTCGTAATAATTAATTACGTAATTAATTATGGCCCGATACAGTAACTGGTAACAAGCCTTCTTAGCTCAGTGGTAGAGCGCATCACTCGTAAGATCGAACTCTGTTCCATGATGAGGTCACCTGTTCGATACAGGTAGGAGGCATTTTTACTCTGCTGAAGGACTGCCTCCTACTAATAAGTATGCCACTGCCGCTGACTCCCTTGCGCCTACGAGCAATAATGTTCCCTGGGGTCAAGAATGTGGCGCGTAACGCGCCGAGTTTGCGATGACGCATTACAAACTGTGCGACAAGCCACTGATGGCGTCACCGCTTCGCTGACTTCAGTGCGACTGAACGCGCCCCTCGCGTTTGATCTTTTTTGTTTCCCCCTTCTTGTCTCCTCCATCCATTTCTTGTGTTCTTGAAAATAAGCAGCCGTTTCTGCAACATACCTTCCACCACCAAAAACAACGTCTCCTCGAGCGGCAAGTCGTCAAAGAGCAAGGGTTAAAAGACATCTAGCTTTAAGCGCGGAAGGCCACCGACTACCACTACGGACAAAGCTGGAGACACCAAACGTGCGAAGCCTTCAGGTGGACCAGGTGCAATCATCACCCCCTCTTCTTATCTGGAGAGAAATCTCAGTAGGTGGCATAACACTAGACGCCTCCGGTGATGGTCTTCCGCGGTTACAATTGCGAGGATCGGCAAGAGCGTGCCGACACATCAGGACGTGACGAATGCAAGGGGCCCGGGTAAACCGAAGCACACTATGTAAGAAACAAGGTGAGGGATGTGACCATGTGAATATGCGAGACTAGGGTAGGAGAGAGAGAAACCTGTGTGGAGAGTGTTCATGATATCGGAAGATGCGATAGTAAGAGTCTTGAGGAGTATCGATATCGATATGGTAGCGAAACCATTCTCAGGAGTGCGGAAAATATGAAGCACAATCGCGGTGGCCTTTCATATGTCGGCAGGTCGTCGTGTTCGCGCGCAAGCAAGCTGACCGCCAACAAGCCAAGACAGACAGCTGAGGTCCCGGGGAGTGAACCGGTGGGGCAAGTGAAAGGAACCAAATACAGATCAGGAAGGCATACATACTGGCAGCGGCTTGAAGCGCTGCAATTCGAGCGGCATAGGTCATCGGGCCGAGATTCACAGTAGAGGCAGCGCAGCTCGTTGGCGGATGCGGGCCCGGGACAATTCTGCTAGTGCTGTAAAGAGCAAGGTAAAGAGTAGGAACGGCGCATGCGCAATTACTGGAAGATTACAAGCAGGGAGGTAGCCATGAGAACAATGGTCGCATAGCGAAACGGAGCTCGAGGCTTCAGCAATGAAACAATACGAGAGAGGGGTACCGCAGATCGTACACCTGTGAGACGTGCTCATACCTCAAGTCGTCCGAGACAAGGTGAAAAATCCGAGGCAAATCATGCGAATCTGATCAAGGGAGCAGATTTAGAAGCGTCAACAGCACCAAGGGGGCCGGATGCAGGGAGTTGTCGCCCTCAATCTGGGACAGTGAGGCTCGCGGTCCCGCTGCGTCCCCAAATCACAAATCCCCTTCGTTCTCGCTCAGGTGCACGACTCGCCTTGGGACTCGGCACATGAAGGTGCTCGCAAGTTCGCGCAACTCCCAGTATCCATAGTTCACGGAAGAGTAGGCAGACCGAGTTAGATAATAGGAGACACTATCATCCAGGCCTGTGTCCGTACCTCCGACGTCACGGAATGACATCTTCTAGACCTGCTTCTACGTGCCTTGGTCGTCGACTTCGCCGAACGAAGGTGAATTGGCCCAGAGTGCCTAGTATCGAGGAGTGAGAACCACGCTGGGCTTGTTTGGCTGTCGATGGACGGGGTATATGCGGCGGGTATAAGACCTTGTGCGGAGCCATACACTGTGTTATTACACTGTGGAGGATCTAGTCCTACGTGCGGCCACGCGAGACCGACGAGGGATTGTTCGAGCAGTTATTGGGCAATTGGGGCGGCCTATCATGCGGCGCCGGCCAGTAATAAGGATATCTGAGCGCTGTAGCGAGCCTGATTCTGATCCTGGGCTGTCAGACCACTCCATTACGCTCGCAATCTGGGCACATGGGTGAGCGTATGAGGCAATGCAGAGATGAAGCGGTAAACACTCAATCGGACGTGCATGTCAGTGGTGAGGGCAATCAAGACGTATCAACATAACGAGCTACAAACTCGGTAACACCGGGGAATAGGTGTGAAAGGCTTGGGTACTGACCTTAAGTCCTTATATGATAGACACTGGCGTTGGCTGGAAACCATTTCGAGGCATTTGCAACACAGATGATTCATGGCCATGCTTGGGCATACGCAGCCTCGGAATGAGCAGAAGCCTGGAAAGGATTTCGAGGCTCGAAGACTTCAAGAGATGAACGCGCGAGTCAAGGTTGTGTAGACGCCCAGAGATAGCAGACCCGTCACCGCCGGCGACCGCATGCAGACGACGAATTTCTTCCTTCCCTCCCATCATCAGTCAACTTGAACGGACAGCCTCGATTCGAACTATCTTTGTGCTTGCATCGCCTTTCGCCGTCCTCTCTACTTGCAGCCTCTTTGGGCGCTCAACTCATATCATCATCATGTATGAGTACCTTTTTGCCATGTGAAGCATCCGATGTGCACACAACTGGGAGGGATATTCAGTCGTACTTATCACGAACCACATGGACGAGGAACGGCGGCCTGATGAACTGGGGCGAATCTAGGTTAGTTCGCTCATTCGCTCATAACTCTCTCACTGATGGGCCCTTGCGCACGCGAGTTCGAGTCAAACGCCACGAGGTTCCAACCAAGTTCCAACGCTAATCGCTGCACGTATTTGAGTGCGAAGAGAACATGAAACAACGATTGAGCAGAGCATGACTCATGACTCACCTCGGAGGATGCCAAGATGAGTCTGCTGCGAAAGAAAGTCACAGGCGGAGCGAAGAAGACTTCAAGACACGTCTTTCCCTGTCTTTCCCCTGCAGGGTCTCCTTGTTCTTTATGCATGCTTCCGATATCACACGACCTGCCAATGCAATCATTTGCGAACAAGGCCTCGATGACTGATGCACGAGATACGTACTAACATTCGCCGGGCTGATGCAGATAGAGCCCGGACAACGCTGTGCGCTGCCATGGTAAATACCTAATCCAGCAGAAATAACGAGAGGCATCACATCTCGGGCACGTATATAATAGGCCCAACAGCGTCCATGTGTTCCCCCGTGGTCCAGCGTGTCCTCGCCTCCGCGTCCAGGATGCCGCTCTCCACTCGTCTGGTCGCCCTCCTCGCGCTCGCGCTCTGCGCCGTCGCCGTGCCCGCACCCGCCGGTCATGTCGTCCACGAGACGCGTGCGCACCTCCCGCGCGGATGGGCCCCCGTGCGCCGCGCCGAACCCGACATGGTCCTGCCATTCCGCGTCGGCCTCGTCCAGCCCAACCTAGAGTACATCGAGGAGTACATCATGGACGTGTCGCACCCCGAGTCGGCCAACTTCGGCAAGCACTGGAGCCCTGCGAAGGTCGCCGCGACCTTCCGCCCGTCCGACGAATCCGTCGAGTCCGTGCGTGGGTGGCTCGTCGAGAGTGGTATCGCGGCGGAACGCGTCAAGATTGGTACGGGCGGCAGCTGGATGAAGGTGAACGTGACGGTCGCAGAGGCGGAGCGCCTGCTGGGCACGGAGTACCACGTCTACCAGTACGGCGACGATGAGAGCTATACCCACGTCGGATGTCACGAAAAGTACCATCTCCCCGAGCATGTTTCGAAGCATATCGATATCGTGTCGCCTACTCTCCACTTTGACGCCATGCCACGTGGACCTGCCGGGCAGTGGCAGAAGGTTGGAGGCAGAGACACCTCGAGCACGAACGCTAGCTACTCTGCGCACGCCATCGGCCAACCTGGTTTCGGCACGAGCTTCCCCAAAACAAAGGGCACTATCCAGGTAAGTCGTGGCCATGACCGGTCGTAGAAGCAAGTTCTCTAACCTTCAATATGTGCAGGGTATCTTCAATGAGCTAGAAAACTGTGATGAACAGATCGTCCCGAACTGCCTGCGTGCGCTCTATGACTTCGTGTACTACCCCCTCGTCCCGGATAAGAACTCCCTTGCTATTGGTAAGTGCTGTAAGGCTGTCGATGATTGAGCAATATCTGACTCCCCGGAATAGTCGAGTACACCCCTCAGGCATATGTAGCAAGTGATCTAGACCTGTTCTTCACCAACTTTTCATCAAGCCAAGTAGGGCAGCGGCCTGTGTTGAACAGCATTGACGGTGGTATGTCGTCGCTCTGCCTCCGTCACGATGACCCTAACCCTAGACCACAGGCTATGTCCAGACGGACTATGGGGGATTCGACTATAACGGCGAGTCCAACCTCGACCTGCAGTATGCCATGACGCTTGTCGGCTCCCGCCAACCAGTACAGCTCTACCAGGCCGGTGACCTCTACGAAGGCGCATCCTTCGGAAACCTGCTTGACGCACTCGACGCCTCCTACTGCACGTTCGAGGGCGGCGACAGCCCCGATTTCGACGCGACGTACCCCGACCCGTATGGAGGGTACGAGGGACAGCCAGACTGCGGTACCGTGACGCCCGCGTACATCATGTCTACGTCGTACGGGTACACCGAGGCGGACTTGACCCCCGCGTACGAGCAGAGGCAGTGCGCTGAGTATGCGAAGCTCGGGTTGATGGGCATCTCGGTGTTCTTTTCATCTGGAGACAACGGCGTTGCGGGGAATGGTGGTGTCTGCTTGGACGCAGACGGCGAGGAGGACTATGATGGCACCTCCTTCGCGCCGGGTTTCCCTGTCGATTGTCCGTACGTCACTGCAGTCGGCGCGACGCAAGTCAACCCTAACGCCACGGTACGTGTGAAGTGTATCCTCGTTGACTCGGAGATGCTGACCTCATATCTGTTCTGTAGGTCTGGGAGCCAGAAAGCGCGTGCGAGCAGGTCATCTACTCAGGTGGTGGCTTCTCCAACGTGTTCCCGGTTCCCTCATACCAGGTGGACGCCGTCGAGCAATATCTGACGAAGTACCCGCCCGGTTATCCTGCGGGTACATACAACACCTCGGGCTCGCGCGCATTCCCTGATATCTCTGCCAACGGGTGAGCACACTCTGCCG